AAATATTTTGACTCTTTTTGAGCTGTTTATGGACATTTACAGCTTTCAATTTTTTTTAGTTTTTTTTTCTATAAATATCAATAAAGTTTTATCTGTTGGGCCAAAAAGTATAAAAATTTAATACAAGGCTCCTGATATATTGTTACAATATTAGTTGAAAAATATTAAAAATACATAGACACAGTTTTTTTTTATAAGCATTTAAAGATCAAATTTTGACAAAATTTATCAAAATTTCGAAAATTATCAATCATTGTAATTAATAAATTATAAAATGTTCAGTTTTTATAGCTAAGGATTACAAATTCAACACAAAGGTTCTCATAAATAGTTCATACTATAACCAAAAAATCTAAAAAATATATGAACACACTTATTTTTTACAGTCATTTTAAATTCAAATTTGGACGAAATTACATATTAAAAAACCTAGAATAACTATTTTAGTTATTTTGTTGTGATTGAATAATATTATTCGTGGGTACTTGAAACTTCTAAAATGTACTATTATATATCTATGATAGTATCATGGTTTTTGTTGATGTATAACGCGTTACCAGTGCCTAATGGATATTGTGATATGATTAATTTGGAATTTATTATAGGTCAATTTTTTGTTTAATACCATAGATATGTATATAATATGTCTTATACATAGACTGACATACCGTCTCCGCTCTGAATCGTTTTTCTTATACAATGATATTATATCGTTGAATTCAAATTTAATATCATCCATTATACAGTGACCCACTTGTAACCTACTGTACAGCAGAGCGACACCCACTTGCCCACCTTTTTTAGTTTTTTTTTCTTTGAATGTCAATAAAATATTTTTACTGTGTAAAAAGCTTGAAAATTTAATAAAAGGCTCGTGATAATTTTTTTTTTATAAGCATTTAAACTTTAAAGTTCAAATTTTGACAACATTTATCAAATTTCAAATTTAATAATTATTTTGTAGTGAAAAATGTATTTAATGTTTTTCTTTAATAGCTAAGAATTGAAAATTTAAAACAATGTTCCACGTAAATAGGTAATAATATATAAATTACTTTTTTCATAATAATAATATCATCAAATATACTTAGTAATATCATAAGCTTTCTGACCGTCTTCGTTTAGAATCGTTTATCTTATAGAATGATATTATATCATTAAATTCAATTTTAACACTATCCATTACAGTGAGCCACTTGTAATCTACTGTACAGCAGAGCTACATCCACTTACCCACCTTTTTTCATATGCTTTTCAATTTTAATTATGTTATTTACCTATAATTGGTATATCAAAGGTGGACAAGTTAATGAAAATACCTAATTAAGTTAAGTTAAGTTAAGTTAAGAGGACACAAGATCGATAAGTCAAAAGTTAACAGTCAACAAATCATACATTTAACCCGATAAAATAAAAATTAATATGGAAAAAAATATTAACTTAACTCAGTTTAAAAAAAACTACTTTAATCTACTTTTTTTAATTAGTGTCTGGAATGTGGATCACATAAAGAGTGACTGGGTTCTTTCTAATTTTTTTAATTAGAATAACAATTTTTATTGAACTTTCAATGTGATATTCAGTGTATGTACCTATTTCACTTTACATGGTTAATAAATATTCAAACTATACCAAAACATCCCAATTAATAAATTACAATTATTAAGTTTTTTATATCAAATAGCAATTTAAAGTCAAAATATTTTTATCAAGAAAAATAATAGAAATATTAGTATTAGTATGGTACCTACTGAATTGTTTTTATTTTTCTATTAATATGTACGTATAAAACCTTAAAAACGAAAAATTTCTAACTTCTAACATTTTTAACTTAATGGATTATTTTTAAATAAACTAAGGAAAGTTAAGTTATTTGAACTGTCAAATTAACTAGTTAAGTTTATCATTGGTGTATATTACTTGATATTGTGTAATACATTTTCAATTAATATTTTTTTTCCTTTTTAAAGCTTTGGCAACTATGGCCATTAGCTGTTTGTATGGAGGGTTGGATTAGAACACTTGTATGTGTGGCAAGGATTTGTTGCTAAACTATCCCATCCGGGAACAATATAGTGACACCGCGCTAAATCAAGCCACTGTACGGTATTTATATAACTGTATAATGTAAAATATAATAATATTTTGTTTCAGTGGACCAAACATATTATAATTTGATGAGAAAATGTTAGTATTTCGTTTATTATTTTTCTCTAATTTAATACTTAAAATAGGTACATAATATCTAAGTAATTTTAGCATAACATAATATTTTGATTAGGTATGTAATCTGTATAGTAATAAAACTTAATTTTGAAAAATTATTCAATTTAGGTATAGGTACTTATAGCACTTTGCTTAATTTTCCTCTTTCTAAATAAGAATAGTACTTACCCTTTTTTCAAATACAATACTATTTGTATGTACCTAATTATTAATTATTGTACGATTGTTAGTTATTATTAGAGGCCAGAATTATATTATTTTGAATCTTTTTTCTATGTCAGACGGGTGTTTAAAACTTTTACAAATCATGAAACATGTAAATCGATGGAAAAGTTTTTTTTGCAGGTTTGAGAATATTTTAAGATAAAAGAATATTTCGTATAATAAAAAATATTAGAGGATAATACATCAATTAATTTTATAAATTTTTGATATTTTGTGTTGCAGTGGAGTACATAATATAAATTGTATTTGCCCGATAATTGTGATATACGGGTTTTTCAATAGAGGCGCTCGAACTTTGATCGGATATATCGGGAATGTCATTAAAGCCTTATCTGCATAATTGTTGTGAATTGTTCAGTACCGTATGGCAAATCACCATGAACGGTTATAGCGTAGAACAACGTGTGCGTATAATTAAATTTTATTACCAAAATCAGTGCTCCGTTAGAGAAACTTTCCGCGCATTACGCGATTTTTATCCTCGACACAACCGTCCTGCTGAGTCGACTATTCGACGTTTGGTAGCCAAATTCGAGTCAACTGGTTCAATAAATTATCAGCCAACACCTATACGTCAACGAAATGCAAGATCCATTGAGAACATCGCTGCTGTGCGTGATAGTGTACAGGAAAACCCAAGACAGTCAATTCCTCGTCGTTCACGAGAACTTGGTCTTTCTGTGACTTCAACTTGGCGAATTTTGCGTCGAGACTTGGGTCTGCACCCGTATAAAATCCAACTAACACAAGCACTCAAGGTAAATGACCATACACAACGTCGTGTATTCGCTGATTGGGTTCTGGGGCAGTTAGCAGTTGATCCAAACTTCGCTAAAAAAATAATCTTTAGCGACGAGGCCCATTTTTGGATGAATGGATACGTTAACAAACAAAATTGTCGGATTTGGGATGATACCAATCCACACAAGACACACCAAAACAAAATGCATCCCGAAAAGGTCACTGTTTGGTGCGGATTTTGGTCTGGCGGAATCATTGGTCCGTACTTCTTCCAAAACGAAACAGGCATTGCCATAACCGTCAACGGTGAGCGCTACAGATCAATGATCAACAACTTTTTTTGGCCTAAGCTCGATGATATGGATACTGAGGACATGTGGTTCCAGCAGGATGGTGCTACGTGTCACACAGCGCGTGCAACGATGGACATTCTGCGTGAACGATTTGAGGGCATGGTGATATCACGCAATGGTGACATAAACTGGCCTCCGAGATCGTGCGATTTAACGCCATTAGACTTTTTTTCTTTGGGGCTATCTTAAATCGCAGGTCTATGTAAATAAACCACAAACAATTGATGCCCTCAAAGTCAACATAATCAACACCATCAAGCAAATTCAACCAGATTTATGCAACAAAGTAATAGAAAATTGGACCACCCGAATACGTGCCACCAAGCAAAGCCGAGGCGGACATTTGAACGATGTTATATTCCATAAATAATTGCCATATAACGTTCTTTAAAATAAAATAAAAATTAGGTATATATCTCACACACAACTTGTTTTTTTCACTATGAAACATCGAGCGTCCTTATTGAAAAACCCTATATATACTGGGTGATTCTTTTATCAAACAACACTCATTATTTCAAAAAGTGTAAATTTTTTTGAAAATATTTTTTTTACATAGTTTCAAGTCGCTTATAAAACAACGTTTTTATTAAAAAATTATATTTTTAAATATTTTTTATCCTTATAATTTTTTAAGTTTTTTACTTTTTTGAATAACAACATAGGGTTTTAATTTTATATTCCAAAGCAGAATATCTTTCTTAGTATTTTGATACATGAGTTGGGTTGAGTAGTTTATGAGTTATAAGTATTTAAAGTTTAGACGAGCGGAGTGGAGTGGTTCGGGGTTACTTATAATATGTTATTTATGTTTGTCCACTTCACCGCTCGTCTAAACTTTAAATACTTATAACTCATAAACTACTCGCCCCAAATTCAATTTTCATGTATCAAAATACTAAGAAAAATATTCTACTTTAGAATATAAAATTAAAACCCTATGTTGCATTCAAAAAAGTAAAAAACTTAAAAAATTATAAGGATAAAAAATAATTAAAAATATAGTTTTTTAATATAAACGTTGTTTTATAAGCGACTTGAAACTATGTAAAAAAATATCTTCAACAAAAATTTACACTTTTTGAAATAATGAGTGTTGTTTGATAAAAGAATCACCCAGTATACGTATTATGTACCAACGTAGTACGTACATAAAGTGCTCAAATTTTTTTTGGGGGGGTGCGCAGGGGAACGAAGCTCCTCTACTATTTTTTTTTTTTGGTACCACAACTATTTTTTTAACTTGGATGGTACAAACTAATACCCAAAATAATTTTTATTAAAATTTGAAATTATCTAAATTGTTGTCAAAGATAAATGTGCCTATAATGATTAATGAATTTTAAACCTTTTTGACACGCGATTAACTGTTTTTGTAAAAATATTTTGTTGTGTCAACTTTGTAGGCCATGGAAGAAAAAAGACATTAGATCTTGACATTAGATGAGATATATTTCATTCTGCAGATGGTGAGGTAACTTGATATGATGGAGTGGAATTAGGGTGTGAGGATTGATTAGAGGCTACCATAGCATAAGTAAGGGAAGGAGATGTAGGGGAGACGGTGTTCACGTGTTCTGATGCATGACTATCTTTTACAAAGTTAGACTTAGGTCTAGAGTGTTTGTTATCGAAAAAAATTGTTATTATTATTTGAGCTGGATTTCTTACGATACTGTAGATCTTTATATACTGAGCAGCCCTTATAGTTCGCAGGATGGCTTCCTTGGCAGAGGGCATAACGTGGAGGTTCATCGAGGGTTTTTTGACATGTAGATGAAGTATGATCATTGCCGCAACGTACTCAGCGTGGCGAGTATCCGAAGTATGCCTTGGTGTGTCCGTAAGCTTGGCAGTTTGCACACTGAGAGATAAAAAAAAAAGTGAATATAAAATATAAATCTATATTCACTTAGGCACATATATATAGTTAAATATATTATATTTGGAAATTTGTAATAGAATAAAGTAAAAATTCTATAACCAAGGTGAAATGTAGTATTGAAAAAATAGGAATTGGTAAAATTTTATTCCATTATACTGAATACTGATTGATCTAGTAATGCGATAATATTTTTAAAACTCATTTGAATTCGTTAGTATATCTACTTGAGATTAACTAGTTCACTTTTTCCAATTTCACCCCCTCAACATCTATACGTTTGGATTGAATATTTTTAAATTTCAGAATTTTCAAACATTTCACGTGCGTATACCCTGCGCAAACAGACACTGAAATCTATACCACGGTCCATACAAAACATAAACTTTTGGTTACATCTTATAATCATATTATAATCTCCATTCGTGAAGCTTAAAATAAATAAAACCAAATTGTTTCTTCCATTAAATACTGTTGTCGTAGAATTATAGTCTAATTATTGCATAAATCCCTGCATTACCTATGCCATGATCGATGAATGCAGAGAAAAAATAGTATGTGTGGCTCGTGCGGGTAAGCAATATTTCAGTCTTCAGTGAAATGCGGCGCTCGCTTGCGGCTCGTGCCTCACACGTAGCCCGCGACTGAAATAGCTCACTTCCCGCACTTGCCACACAATATTATACTATTTGGTCACGCCTGCACCGAGAGTTTGGTTTTTAACCGCGGTTGAAGCGTTAGAAAGCGGCCTTCGTAGACCAGCGACCAGCTGGTCGTAAAGTGGAAATCCTCAAAAGTGCTGGGCTAGTATACACGTGTATTCCATTCACAACCAGACACTAAAATCTATCACACGGTCCCTACAAAACATAAACTTTTGGTTACATCTTAATATCTTATAAACCTACATATTATTATAATTTATAATCTCCTTGCATGACGCGTAAACATTTTTATTTCATGAAATTGTTTTCGTAGAATAATCTGATTGTTGCCATAGGCATGTGCAGACTTTTGGTTCCGGGGGTGCACACTAAAAATTAGGGCCCACAATAATTTTGAAAACAATTATAGATACAGACAAATGTTTTAAAGATATCAAATCCAATAAAAATATTTATTATATTTTATTATTCATTCTAATAAATATTACATAACAATAAATAGATATACAATCTTTAATGATAATCGACGTTTAAAAGGAACAACATTTTTGAATTCGTCAATAATTTCATTAATTTAATTTACACTTAATTAATAATTAGGACCCTTGTCGTTTTTGGTGAAGGGTCCGAAGGAGCCCAGGCACCCACGGGCCACGGCACCTCCTGTGAGCACGCCTATGATTGTTGCATATATCCCTATATAGTGCTTTACCTTTGCCGTGATTACATTTTTTTGTGCCTCGCTTTTGGTATCAGTGATGGATACGAGAGAGGGGCGAAGGGGCGTTCGCCCCCCCCTTGGACTGTCTTTTTAACGTTATTTTCTATTATAATATTTAATATTATTATATTGGCTAAACAAAAATACAATTTAATTTTTGAAAATCCCCCCCCCCCTTGGGTGACTTCTGGATCCACTACTGTTTGGTATAGACTCTATATGATATCAAGAATACTTTATTTTTACAAATTTTTTTCTATACACTGTAATTTAATAATTTAATTTAATTTAATAAAATATTATACTTTTTCAAATACATAAAATATAAATTTATATTAAAAATTTTATTTTTTAAATGTTACGATAAGATGCGAGTCGCAAAAGTCTATGTGGCGGTTGGCGGTTTGGCCACCCCTGGTATAGAGTATAGACTAGGTAATAGAAAACGGGTATAACGCGAGGGTTTGAATCAACGTAATAAAATCTGCATATTATGCATTTATAATTATTATAATTTATAAATTATAACAATTTGGGGACTTTAACATCGATTTTAATGATAATAAATTGGAAACTTTCGAAAGTTTCCTTATGGACACATTCAATTTACATATGATAAACAATCCAACAGAATATACAACGAGAGATGACACCACTATCGATACAGTATTTTCAAGATATTTGGAAAAAATACATCACAAACATACATATCATATTTCAGTTATCACAGGCCTGTAATTTCGATTATTGAATATATGAATAATAGTAATTAAATAGTAATAATAATAAATTTCATTTTCATTTATTTTTACATTTACTTAAATACATTGACTTATTGATATTTACTTTTATTTTGAATGGTTCCACTAAAATGTATTTGTAATCTATAATATTTGTTGGAAAAGAAACTTTGTTTCTACCGAGTGTCCCACGACAGCACTCATTTTTTTTTATTACCTATATACCTATTTATAGTAGTATTATTTTGTATTATGTACTTTATTCTTTTGCATATAAATAGGCATATTTTTAATTTGAGAGAATACATTTATATAAAATCATATTTTTTGCATATTTTTTGATGATTTTTAGAGAATATTGAAAGAATATTTTCAACTTTTTAAGAGATAATTTTATTCCGGCCTCTATAGTTATTAGGTAGGTACCGTTGAATAAAGTAATGAAAAGCATATTTGTGATGGAATGAATTATTCACAATCACTGATCTATTGACTATTATAGCCTATAGGATCCAACTCTGTTAGGAAACTTAGTCGGCTGCTGACTTGTGCTCAGTGACCAGAGTCGTAGCAATAGTAATAACACGGCCACACGGCAGTTACATACGGATAGTTCGATGGAGTTGACAAACAGGTGTTGCCTTAGTGCCTGACTGCTACATGATGATAACTGGTCTCCGCTGTCTATACCTACCTATGTTTCTTAAATTGAACGGAGTATGGATCCAATCAATATTATTGTCTACGAAAGCCTCTAATAATACATAAATAATCTAGTAAATCAAATATTGAATGACACTCGTTTTAACTATTACTTGTTAGGTATATATACTATACTTATATAAGTTATAACTTATAATATGCAATTAAAATGTTGTATGTTTATTAATTTCTGTGTAAATAAATTAATCATCATATTATATTTATCAGGTCGGGCTCTTAGCAAAGAAAATCAGTATCATGTATACATAACAAGACTATATTATAACGGTAAAATATTTGTATCAAACAATTAACTATGTCATTACCCATACTATATATTATTATATTTATGTAAATAAGACTACAAGAAGCACTTAGTAGAATTCAATTTCTCAATTAACTTCAATCCCTAAATAATCTTAAATAATTGCACTTTTTTTTTAATAATTACATCAATGATTATGTAACAATCAAATTTAAATAACAAAAATGTAAATTAAATCGGAACTGTAAGTTTTTTTCTGTTAATAGAATTATATAGTGGTTATAATGGTTACCTATAACGTATTAAAGTACCTATACGTAAAAATTAGGGATTCATCGTTTCTTATATGATTATTGTGATTTTGTTTTCAATTAATTGAACTAGGTACCTATGTTAACATTTATTTGAAAAATCCTAAAATGAGTAAAATGTATGTCTCCAAATTCTTAAATATTGAATTATTTAATACCTACCTACATATCTAAAGAATTATCATTTTTAGGATGCATACCATTAGGTTTATCAATGTGGGAAGCAGAACTAAGAGCTGCCAAAAGTAAGATTTTATAATTTTACACGAATTTCTAATATTCAATGTAGGCAAGACTTCCAGTGGTGGATACTTGACGTTTGTCATTATAATATTTCATCTATGTATATTGCATAATAAATGATGCAATGATTCACTTACCCATTCATTTTTTTTAGTATGACCACTAGGCACTAGCTATGACCTGTTTATTATTAGCGCTTATCGTTTATGTTCCCGTAGGTGCCTACATAGATTCTGAGTTAATTTCCTATAGGAATTTTCTAACATTTAAAAATAATAACATAAATTATTATAGTATTAAAAGTTAACACATATGTAAAATATTTCAGATAATAATGCTGTCGCTAAAATGGAGTTATGATGTAGTAAACGCCATTTATTGATAAAATGGACATTATTAATGATATTAATTTACAACTGAATATCAATAACATTTATTAAATATTTACATTATGTTGGAAATTAAGAGTTTGATCTTGTTATTAAAATTATTCAATTTATTATTTATGTAACACTTGTGCTTGTAATATCTAATAATTCTAATAATATACGAAATATTCTCGAAGGCTATTCCCAAAATATTTTATAATTATACTTATTAGTTATTGCCTAATTAATGTCAAAACTACTTCAATATTTTTCACAAAAAACTTAACAATAGCCATGAGGTAAGAGTGTAATGGGTATTCATTTTTAGCATACTTATGTACATAATACTATAGAATTATTGAAGTACTAATGTAAAAAAAATTGTGGCAATAGTGGGTACCGCTCTGCTGTTCATTAGATGTAAAATGTGTCATTTTGAAGGATGTGTTAAATTTTAATCAATGATATAAAATCATTATACATGAAAACCGAAACTGAAAGAAGACTTATAAGGGTATTTTATAATAATATTGCTATTAAAGTACTTTATACTAACGGTATGTTAAATTACCTTTGTCGAAAACATTTAATTTGTTATACTTTAAAAGTTTTATGTAATTACGAATAATATTTTTATAGTACAAAAAAGTAACTAAATTAATTTTTCGTTTAGGTATACGTATCTAAATTTGATCAAATTTGAACTTAAAATGTTTATAAAAAAAACTGTGTGAATATATTTTTAGAGATTTGGGTTAAATTTTCGAGACTGATGAATTTCGTCAAAATTCTACCTTCAGACAGTTGTAAAAAATGATTGTGGACTTACGCTCAACTTTTTTTTTAATTTCACTATTAACAACTTATGCGAAACTGTACCTATTACATTTTCAA